ATATCGACATTTTGCACTTTCGAAACATTCGTTTTCCCCATTCTTTTTTCGAGCCTAAAACCTTGCTGCTTCGTTCCACATGCCCTATTTCATTTCACACCGTTGAAACCGATGCACCACCCACACAAGGCACACGTTCCGGTGGTAAGCGGAGAACTTTTCCGCCATTGGATATCCAGACTAAGCAGTTCCTCAACACGCGTTTTGGTGTACGTTCTGAACTGAGAATGAAATGACTTTGGACGTGTACTTCTGAATGTCACAGAAGGTCGAGTTTTACCAAACGCACGGTGACATTAACCGGTTTCCCTGTATTGTGTGATCCCTCGAAGAAAAAACTGTTTATCTTACTTTATTTCGTGCTTTCGGCGAAAAAACGGCGGGTTGTCAGTTTTTCATACCCCGGTAATGGGATAAATGATGTGATACACTTCCGAGCCCACGCGGAACGGATAGCGCATGACTGCTTCATCTCGCACGCGTGAATGGAAGTCAAACGAGATGCGCGGGTACAGTTCACGAATGTGAATAGGGATCTCAACTGTTAGTGTGATAGCACCTTGTTGATCACAATTGTAGGCGATTAAATAGAAAGGCCCAAAATTTTCTGGAAGAGTTCTTATTCTTTTACCAACAGTGTGGTACCAGGACAATATTGGAACATATTTATCAGCATCTGATTCATTTGCCATATTCAGTTTGAAATTACAGTCAACTGAGTTACGAGCTGGAGGAAACAAAACAATCATTTTGCCATTATTTGTTGAAATCCGAGTTTTCCGGTGGACAGCGGCATAGATTGACGGTAGTAGAACAAGCATTCGATGATTGTTGCTGATAGAAAGGTAAATCCGCATGGGCTAGTGAAAACATGCGAGCACGATGCGTCACCGGGGTGCACATCATGCGATCGACATGATTTGACTACAAGTGAATTTTCTTGTCACGATCCAACGAAATGGATAATCAAGAGAGGCCGCAAACCCTCTGTGGTTTCTTCGCTCCTCATTGATTGATTAATTGATTTATGTGCACGCTTGTCTTTGGAATAGGTCCATAACAGACTCCGAATTCGCGCTCATTTTGAGCTCACTCACTCTCCCAAAGAATTTTTTTCCTGAGGGGACCGAATGATTTGTTAGATAGCGGCACGAGCATGACAATTGCGATTACCACTTGGTTCGCTTCGTCCCGCCAGTTCACACGAGTTTCGCGAGAGTTGGTTTCAATGTCAACCATTCATCACTTTCGGTCGATGCGGGAAGGTGCACACTCAGCACCGGAAAGGATTTGGAGCAGTTTAAGCAGACCGTGATTTTGACAGAACACTTCGATTCGACTGAATGTATGAGGAAAACAAATGTGCAGGGTGACGAAAAAATGGGATGATCAAGTTTAGTTCCTGGGTACTCAATCATACACTAGACGAGATTGTGTCCGGATTATGGGCCTTCCAATTCAGGGTACGAGTGTGAGTAGAATTTGACGGAGAAAGAAAAACCCAAACCATGCGAAGCGAAAAAAAAATGTTTCCTATTTTGTATCGTTCATCACGTATGAAATGAATCGATAATCGAACTAGCCAAAATACGATTGACGGGTTTTTATAAGCCTGTTATTTTCGATCGCCATGCTACCAGTAGTTTTTCCCGACTGAGCACAATACATACTGTAGACATGCCTAATACGGTTGTTGTTCCAAAAGTTCCTCCCAACTCCCCCCCCTGCCAACCTCCAAAAAAGAACAGTGGATCTGAACTCAAGTCAATGCATACTTGCTTCAATATGTGCTCTATGAAAACAGACGCGGTTTTCTTTTCACGCACACAGGCGGCACGGTGATGAAATGCTAATCTAAACGAAAATTCGATTGAAATTCTGTTTGAAGCCGCCATCCGTGAGTTCGGATGAACAATTGTAGATTGTGTGTCACGTAAGCATGAATTACCAGAACAGAGAGTACTTAATATGTCATAGCAAAAGTTCAAGCGAGAACGAATCATTCCGAATGATCAGCTGCAACTCTCGAGTTCCCCCCCCCACACACACACGTGCGTCCGATCAAAACGGGATTGATTGACAGGTATCACTTATTCATCCTTGACACTTTTCAACAGCTCCACATATGGCTAAGTCTATCCAGGTTACACAAATACTACGCTAGATACACGGTGTGTAAATCATTCATGCAATTACGCGCTCTTTGTTACTGGAATGAACCAAACGGCAACACTTCAGCACTGAAGTCACATTTTTCGTGTGTTAGTTTGAAATGCCATAAGACTGCGTGTCTACACGGAGAGACGATGCAGGCCGAGATTTGTTAAAGTTGAGATGTGGGATAGCATATCTCATCTACATGTTTGAGCAACTATAAGTGAACGATATTATCCTGTACTGAAAGAATCAAACCTCTCAATCGCCATCAAACTCCTCCTCTAAAGGATGTATTCCTGCTCTCTTGGAAGTGCAGTGAGTTGTTTTAAGAAGTATCGCATCAGGCGGTAACATTGTCTAACTTGTTACGAGGCTGAAAAATTTCATATGGTCACACGGGGCGGGTGTATATTTGTGTACAGCACATTTGGCAGCTGAACAAGGGAACAGCGAAATCATGAACCGATAATGTGCAAAAATGTTAACATCAAAGAACGCATCAGAAAAGCGCGGAATTGGGACGGAGTACGAAACTGATAGTGTGGTACGATCATCTGAGACAAGGTGAGTGAATGTGAAAACTCTGATCTATTCCAGACCAGGTCCCATTGGAATTCTTGATTTGGGATCCCGCGATAGATCTCATCACTGTTTAGAGATGGTGAAATGGCTTTATTGTGCTCATATATCTCACTTTCTATGAAGATTTAGGTTCATTACTGTCTGTGTCTCTACCTTCTGATAGTGGCCTTAGTTTGAAACTATTCAGCTTACTCCGTGCAAGCAGGTAGTCGAGAGATGGGAAAAAACTGCCAAATGATAGAGCAACACGCGTTGTTTCAAAAACTGACACCAAATGCTAGCTTTTTGGGCTCGTTGGGTTTTGGACGCAAATTTTTTCGCCCGTGATGCTTCAAAAATGGAGGTGGTCAACTATGCTCCATATACATACTTTTGAACGCTATTGCTCACTTTCAAATTGTTGTTCACACAATTACGATCGATAAAATTGGGGTTAGTTCCCTGCCATTCGTCGGTTAAGCCAGCAAAGCACAACTTCTCCGAACAGAAAAAAGTAAAATCGAACCTACTTTTCTTAGAGGAAAGACTGGTACAATGGATATCACTGGTGCATCCCAAAAGATTGCTCCGACCGATTTCACACTGAGCTGATTTGATTTTATTGCATGGGACAATTAAGACTGGTCACCCCCGTCGAGCCTCGTCGTACACTTACAAACGAATTCGTTGCACATTATGAGCGTCTCAGTTACATGAAGTTACGTAAATGGGGACCAGGAGGACGATACACCGTTTTTTATTACACATCGTGATTACTCGGCAAAGGATGTAAACCCCATGGTCCCGGGGACTTACCGTTTACTCATGGGAACTCACAGTTTAAAACCCGAGATTAGGAAAAATGGTCCCCTTAAGGCTCTACTGGCATAGGTGTTGTATTGAGCTGGGCGATAACAAAGCTGCTTACCATCAAAGTTGATTGGTGGTGGGGAATTTCTAATGTGGAGCCTTAGAATGTGAAGCACACCGACGATTGTTTGACCGCTACCATTCAATGCCGATTGACGCAACCTAATCGCCTCACAACCCCGTTCCATCTTTCTCCGTCACATGCTGTAATACGGTCGGATTTTTTCTCAAGCCGAACTAATGCAGTACTGTTATAGAAAATAGACAGAAAAAAAAATTCCTTTTCATTTTCTAAGATTCTGTTTAGGGCCAAAAAACTGTGAGTTCGGTGTTTCAAAAAACATATCAGCAACAATCATGACTTTGGATTATGCGACTACCGACACGGGCACGCTAATGTGGAAGCAGCAAGTTGGTATTTAGATGAGCGTGGAGGGGGGGACAACATGAAAAATAGCTTTGAAAGGACAAAAATAATGATGTATATATTTCATTCTATGCAAAATATTCATCTGGAAAAACCAATCGCCAGTATTATTGTCACTGTGATACACTTACCGATGGTTCCGGTTCCGGTGGTCTGGACTTCGGTCCTCCTCCAAGACGTACTGCGGCATGGTACTGTTGCAGTTGGTATTCAAAATCACGTCGTTTATCTGTTCGGAATGACAAAAAATCATGAGGTTTTTCTATTAGTTCGCACTTTTCGGTTTTCGTGGTTGCAAAACGAACACATTGCCCCATTCTAGCCTGGAATCCACGTAACCGAACGACACATACAATCTGGCAAATGAGTAACGATGGATGTGAAAAATGAGAGTTATCTGAATCGAAAAATACATACACACACACACACACACCTTGTCAAGTTACCTTAAGCCTGAAAAAACTAAATCAAACGACATTGATTCACTGCACATAAGACTTACAAAAAGAAAAAGACAACAGTCAAACGGAGGCGACATTATCTGACTCGTTGATGACATAAAAAAGGCCAAATTACCGAAAGAACGCAAACTGAGACAGAACATTTTAAACCATTGACTGGATTTCATTCTGAACGCACCGGATGCTGTGACAACAAAATACACCTTCGTGCTTCCAAATTTGTGAAGCACTATGTGTATTTCGTCAGCAAGTGCAAGCCAGAAGACTTTCAGCTTTAAAAAACATGTGTTAGAACACAGGATCCAGTGTATCGCTTGTCACAGATGGATAACCATTCCTAACGACGATTGGAAACAAAACATAAAGCGCTTTGAAACGAATACATTTCCTCACATGAACCGCAAAGTGCGCACCGTCATTTGGAATGACTGTCGGACAAAAAGGAAGATCCTTCCAAGACTGTCGATGCAGGTTCTGGAGAAAAACTTCAAACTCACTTTTATTGCGGCGATAGTAGAGACATCCGTGCAGCTCGAGAATCAGTTCAACGGAGAACTGGAAAATCACAAAGAAGATGAGAATCCAAAGTGGATAGTTCAAATACTGGAGCTGATATCCGGCAGCAGGCATCCGGAAGCCCAGCATCAAGGTGGGCACGGACAGAACGTGTGCAAAGGTGCCGATAAAGAAATGAATCCAATTGAACCATGGTCGATTGGGATTATTCACATCGCAACGACAGAATGAGATAATGGGCTGGAAAATGCGGACAGAAAATAGTGGGTGTGCCAAAATCAACAATATTTGGAGCAGAGGTAGCGGATATCGATACATTTGCGTAGGAATTTCATGCGAAGCTGCTTTATAGTACTTTATATAATATGGACGAGCATGAATGAGCCAGATCACCTTTATTATTGTTGTTGTGCTGGTACTAGGTTTGATCGCAAGCCGATATATATAATAAGTAGTATATGAATGAGTGGACAAAATTCCCAGGGAAGTACACGAGCGGTTCCGCGGTTCTTGCCGCTAGTCAGGCATGCGTATCCGGGAAGTGTATTTTCGTCACAATAACCTCATTTGCAACATCGGGTAAATTTGTTTGGATGGTTCCTGCAGAGCCAGTCAGTCCATCGATGAATTAGCAATATGATTCGAAGTTTTGTAAGTGGGTTAGATGCCACCTACACGGAGGATTAAGAAGGGAAGAACACGAACAACTTCGCATTACCCGAATAAAATGGGCGTTTTAAGTGGTTTCGTGCCTGGTAAAATGCGCAAACTCCGGTGTGGCGTGCGAAATACTGCCTTAGTGATAACTGGCAAAACTATGCCGGATCGGACAGAGGTAATTCGCACTACGTTAGCGTGGTGTAGTGACATAATAAATACAACAATAATAATAATAATAAATGTCCGGATGAGACTGACTGACAAATACTTACATTGAGCAGAGCCAGGACGAGCACAATCAAACCAAGGATGGGGTGAACGTAGTACGGACTGACGGACGCTTTTGAATATCCCTCGCAATAGATAAACGCTAGGATGATAGCAATGCAGGTCAGGATTACGCAACACGCTTGAAGAATACGATGCGCTTGGAACCACACATGTTGACCGAGCAGACCGGAATTGGGCCACATATCCTTATAGTAACGAGCCAAAATCACACCCACACTGGCACAGAGAACCCAGGCTAACACCATGAGGCAACCGTGGGTCTTCATTAGTGGTGAGCCGTGTCCGCTCATCCCAGTCATACTGCCGTACACTGGCCTGTTAGATTGAAATAAAAAAGAAACATCAACCATAGAAATAACTGTGGGAGTAGTGGTTCATGAACAAACAGACAAACAAGTGGCACGGATGAATAAACAACGAAAATGACAGAACATTCAAGTGAGCCAGTGGTAATAATAATAATACGAGAACCGGAACTTCGCAAACGCACATTCAATAACTCACAATCACCAAGCACTGGCAACCGCATCTATGCTGTTTTTAGTAAGGAACAGTTTACATAAATCTAGCGGTTACGCGATTCGTTCGGCCCTTTTCGCGGTGAGATCATCAATAACTGAAACAAATTTAACAGTTATTGTGCATAGTTCTGTCAGTGCCAAACCAAAAACCCAATCCGATAGTCAATGTTTTATATCCTTCGGACAAAACAGTGTTAGTAATCATCTCTATTTTTTCTCTAATCGATATCAAGCTTGATGAGATATGCGAAACTGATTTCCCAATTGGTGAAGGTTAAACACAGTCTCGACAACCCAGTTGGTTACCATGACTGATTCAATTACATTCGTAGGGGTGAGGCATGCAATGTTGCAAAGGTATCTCTATATTCAAACCTCAAGAGCATGCTTTGGGTGCACTGACCGAGCGCATACGCATACATAATCCAATCTGTTATGCCTGTCTGAGGATATACTTAGTTCACATTAAGGATGACACGTGTTGTATGTAGCGGAAAATTCAACTGGTTCCAACAGACGACGTACAAAAGCGACAGAACTCACGAGGTCAGGACAACGCTTTGCTCAGACATAGATTCACCGCCAGCGAATGGGCGATCGAAACCGCTACTCAACACATCGTTTCCGCGTGTCACAATCAAGTAGTATGAATTCGGGACAGTCAGATCCATCAACTGATGAACCATATCCAGAGGTTTCACTCGACGTCGGAAACGGCATTGGAGAGTATTGTCCAAATCATTGTATTTCCCACCGAGATTCTCGCCTTCATCGATGATCAGATTCTGCACGGGAAAGGAATGTAAATCACAAATAAGTGGACCGGTGGATAGATCGATAAATCCGACAGATAAAACAAAACGGATATCGATACAAAACATTGCGACGAGTGCATTTCACAGTCTCATGAAACCAGACACGTTTCTGTGGAAGTTTCTTTACCAGTTAAGAGGAAATAAATCCATTGACTATTGGAACTGCATTGCACATTAAGAAACTAAGCTCCAATAAACTAATTAAATATACAATAAATCGAGGTAAAAAGTAGTGTAGTTTCATTGCAATTAACTAACCACATGCAAATAAATGATGACAAATCAAACTAAGAGAATTCCTACAACCACAAGGTGAATGATTTGTCTAGTATCAATCAATCACCGGTCGATGCGAAGACGTGTATGTGATTGGTTAAGAGTGAAGAAAGAAAAGCACATCAAAGCCAAAAGGTAGGAACAAATCGAATAATGAGCCGAACAGCTACCGGAACAGAACCCCTAGATGATATATTGCTTGACTTCTACGTTCGCTTAACTTACAGAGATCTTACCACCACACTCACCAACTGTAGGCCAGCTGAAACACTACTCTCCACTCAATAATTATAATCGGTGTCTTCGGATACCTTACCTGCTCAGTCCATAACTGCTTTTTTTACAAAGGATCTTTTCGTCTGGAACTGATTAGGTGAATGCTTTTTTTAAATCCCTTAAATCCAAGCAGGAAGGAATTTCTGCATACTAGGAGATCCTTATCAGTCTCTTTAAACGGAATTCATTCGTAACGTGATTAGAAATTGGGACTACTGAATCAAGCCGTACGTCTCTCTCTCTTTGTCAATACAAGCCTCGTTAGCGAACAGCTTCGTCTAAGACATGTGGTTATTCAATGCATGAAAGCCGGGACAAATATAAAGTGCGATGGTGTTGGTCCCAAATACATCGTCTTGGAGGTCTTGTATTCGAACCCTATCACTGCCCCCTGAATTTACTCTCTTCACACGACAGCCCTCTGATTGGCTGTTTTCCCTTTCCTGAGAATCACCTGTTCAGTTCAGTTTGATGTGTACAACCATTAACCGGGCTTCAGTAGGCGACTGCGGTTACCTAAGACTCTGCGTCTAACCTCAGCCCGATCAGATTCGTGCGTAAATAGCGATGCTCAAACACCGACAGTCTCTATCCTTATCCTGTTTTCTTATTGGCCACGTTTCTGAGCCGTATAGCAGAACTGCCCGATATACATTCGACTACATTCGACTCTTCACGGACAGCCGGATTTAGCGGCGGTGCCACAGATGTCTCAAGTTGGCAAAAGCCAATTGAGCCTTCTGAATGCGAACTGACAGTTTAGGCGTGGAAAAATCACATGTAAACTTACATCTTCAAACTAATAAACGACAAGACAAAGGATCGATCTAGACAATGCTACAATTTAACTTGGTATTTCACACAACGGTTGAGCATTTTCACAACACAACTAGAGAATGGGGATACAAGGCATCAAGCCGTGACTGCTTGTTGATAGGATGGATATTCTCTACAAGTTTTATGATAAATCACGAATGCAGCACAGTGCACCCGACATGCAAAATATAATCCCTACCCCAAAATTACACCAGACATCCAACGTACAATCGACCGTGATAGCCACAAACTCACAATCAATGTATTCTCCCACACACGGTCACAAATGCAGACAATTTGCAAGTTAGCTTCAGACAGATCTTCCATCATACACACACACACACACACACATTAAGTCACATTCTATTTGCGAAAGATGGCACATACTTCAAATGGCAGACAAAACGTTTCATAAGGAGGCAAGTATTCTACGCTCCAGCACATCAATCAAACTTGCTGTATGCGAGCATATATTCAAGCCCTAAGACAATCTTAAAAACCAACAGTTACTCGGCGTTACAGTACCCACAGGAATCAAAAACCTAAACAGATAGTTAGCAAATAGCCTAATAAATAATATGCCAAACCGCACCATGGCGACTGTGATTTGGCACATACTGATGCTGATCCCGCTGTCTCGTACTGAGCTTATTCGTTGGTGCTTACTGACCTGGAGGTAGGTTGCACCTCTTGTCCTCAGTGTGCATTAAGTGAGAGAACAGAGACAGAATAGACGGCTAATAATAATCCTCAGAATGATTACTATTTGAGTAGGTTAAATTTCCAACTTCACTCAAACTTGGGAATTGATGGAGAAATTAGACAAATTTTGTTAAATCACTCGGAAGACACAACGGATACAGAGGGGCCGATTGGCGATTGCAATTCAAGACACCACTGGTGCGGCTGCGACATTCGGTCGTCTGTGAAGGATTGAATGCAAGCGGTGGGAAAAAGACAAGGATATACTACTGATGTTCAAACATAACAGTCTGTCATATTTTCCAAGTCGGATGGGACAGCTGAACAAGCGATGACGCGGTTAGGCGCACAGTTCTACATAATCGCGATCGTTGGAGCAAGTGCTCGATCTCCCTAGAGTATGGTGGCTGCGACATGTGATACGCGTGTTACCAGGTGGGTTTGTTGACGTAAGTAATTAGGTGAACACACTGAAACCTGACATGACTGTACGAAAAGCCTGGTCAGAGGACTTGAAAGATAAAGGTTGCGTTAGGCTCCCCGGTTTGTAGGGATCGGTATGATTGATGATTAGAACTACTCAGGGAAGCAACGCTCGTGTATCCACTGAATTTCTAACCAACCTTAATCTATCGTAAACTCCAAAATAATTGCTCTCGGTACTCTTATTCTTCACTCTACTCCTTCATTCAAATGCATCACTCTGAAATAGCAACCAAAACGACTGCAGGGAATGGAAAGGTTATTGCAATTTAGTTCTACTCGACAATTTATGAATTTAACAGGTGAAGAGTTTTGTTTGCTTGTGTGCAGCAACATGGAGCAGAATACGTTCAGCGTAGAATGAGTACAATTGGAGTACAGTATGCATTCAACTTTTCCTTCTACTCTTTTTAAGCAAAGCACAGTCTAAAGACATTATCCAAAACAGCAGCACGAACGCGCACGGCTAATGGTAGTAGAAACTGAACGAAATAATATACATGAAGTCAACTTATCAGGTAAGAATACTTGGAAGATGAATGAAAAGACTGTATTGGATTCCTTCGTGGATTTGGTTAAGGGAACCGGTGAACATGGTCTAAGCTTGTCGAGTGGCACACCACAATAGTTCGTTCAATAGTCTAAACGAGCCCTACGGCCCAATTTATGTGGGGCCTCCTCAACGGTGTTATTTTACGAGAACAAGCAAGCATTGAGTGGTGCGAACCTTGATCCCATACGCGGTCACTTTAGAGTCAGTTTTATAGAAGCACTAGCTCATGACGTCAACAAAGGTATCATCATCCGATGTGAGGGATTCCAAAGGATTTTGCATCCAAGTACGAGGGGATATCACTAGCGAACATCAAATCAAAGCGATCAGACTACTACTATAGGCAAAGAGCGAAACGCAGGCGCGTGCATGCCCATTCGGGAATAACTGGCAGTGGTCAGCTGACACAAGTGCAAGGAAACTATCACACGGATGTATACGAATTCGCCTACAAGTGCATCAACATACACAACACATTTTATCGATCCAGTGAGATAACCGGCAGACAGCAAGACGAACGCTCTGCACCGACGGGATCGGCACGCAGAGACGCCCACGCGACAGCCATATGGGGCAAAAGATGGGTGAATTCACTCGAATACCAGCCTACACACACAAACACACATACGTGCACAAACGCACGCAGGAAACCGGAATGCATGCGAACGTATGCCAAAAGTTGAANAAAGATCGGAGGCTGGTTGTTTGCTTGCGCGCACCTACGGCGCAAGGTTTAAACAAATCGGGCATATAGTTTACTTTTCTACCGACTGAAGATGGTTTGGTATGATAGCAAATTCGATAGCAAAACACCAACAGACCACAGGAACACGAGGGGAAGCATAACACTTGCCACTGTTTACCATCTACTT